TGCAACAATTAATCAATGTTGATGCTACGGTGATTATGTGCCGTTGATGTTCGTTCCTCCAGCATATTCACCCCCCCCCCCAAGCCTCTTGGAGAAATCTGGCCAAAACATGCCCAGCTGTGTCTGGGTACAAGTGACAGGATGAACAACCCAGCGGGTTTTCTTCCTGTTGGGGAGTGTTGTACATGCTGCTATGGCGGTGTGTCCACTCACAGGATGAGTGGTGCTGCCCAATACTGTCACTATGGCGGTGTGTTCACTCGCTAGATGAGTGGTGCTGCCCAATACTGTCACTATGGCGGTGTGTCCACTCACAGGATGAGTGGTGCTGCCCAATACTGTCACTATGGCGGTGTGTCCACTCACAGGATGAGTGGCGCTGCCCAATACTGTCACTATGGCGGTGTGTCCACTCACAGGATGAGTGGCGCTGCCCAATACTGTCACTATGGCGGTGTGTCCACTCACAAGATGAGTGGTGCTGCCCAATACTGTCACTATGGCGGTGTGTCCACTCACAGGATGAGTGGCGCTGCCCAATAAACTCGCCCCTCGGGGCAAAATTTAATGCTAGATTGGCGTTGATTCAGTTACGTCAATGACGTATGGGCAAGGAAGGGAAGCTAAGGTAATTAGCATGAGAAACTGTTTAGCCAGTATGACCATAGAATTTGGAAAGTGGGTATGGAGAGGAGGAGCTGGGATAGGACGGAGGGAAGGAACGCTACCCAACCACTTGTACCGTCGGGGATCGAACGCCGACCTGCACAAAGAGAATCCCTCGCTGTTCCGACCAGTCAGAGTGAGTGGGTGGGATGGTAGGGAGGGTAATAGTTTTGCCGATGTATTTTTACCTCATTTGGCAATTATTATTTTTTTTTTATAGTTAACTGCAGCAGGTAATATTCTTTATCCCTTATTCTCTATGCAGCAAAAGTAAATTACGCTTTTATATATATATATATATATATATATATATATATATATATATATATATATATATATATATATATATATATATATATATATTATTAAATATGACCGAAAAAGTAAGATTAATAATTCTAACACGAATTTTCTCAATCTTTCGTACAGTACGCTTCACTGTTGGAGGTAAATCAAAAATCACTTCTCCAAAATTCATTTTTATTTCTAGTCTGACGCGACACGGGCGCGTTTCGTAAAACTTATTACATTTTCAAAGACTTCACAAATACACAACTGATTAGAACGTATCTCTGATTTTATATCTACATTTGAGTGAGGTGGTAGGGGTGATGTGGCATTAACACAAGACAGAACAGGTGGGGATATTAATAGGGTATTAAAAGTATCAACACAAGACAGAACAGAAACAATGGGTATTGAATAGAAGTGTTTGTAGAAAGCCTATTGGTCCATATTTCTTGATGCTTCTATATTGGAGCGGAGTCTTGAGGTGGGTAGAATATAGTTGTGCAATAATTGGCTGTTGATTGCTGGTGTTGACTTCTTGATGTGTAGTGCCTCGCAAACGTCAAGCCGCCTGCTATCGCTGTATCTATCGATGATTTCTGTGTTGTTTACTAGGATTTCTCTGGCGATGGTTTGGTTATGGGAAGAGATTATATGTTCCTTAATGGAGCCCTGTTGCTTATGCATCGTTAAACGCCTAGAAAGAGATGTTGTTGTCTTGCCTATATACTGGTTTTTTTGGAGCTTACAGTCCCCAAGTGGGCATTTGAAGGCATAGACGACGTTAGTCTCTTTTAAAGCGTTCTGTTTTGTGTCTGGAGAGTTTCTCATGAGTAGGCTGGCAGTTTTTCTGGTTTTATAGTAAATCGTCAGTTGTATCCTCTGATTTTTGTCTGTAGGGATAACGTTTCTATTAACAATATCTTTCAGGACCCTTTCCTCCGTTTTATGAGCTGTGGAAAAGAAGTTCCTGTAAAATAGTCTAATAGGGGGTATAGGTGTTGTGTTAGTTGTCTCTTCAGAGGTTGCATGGCTTTTCACTTTCCTTCTTATGATGTCTTCGATGAAACCATTGGAGAAGCCGTTATTGACTAGGACCTGCCTTACCCTACAGAGTTCTTCGTCGACTTGCTTCCATTCTGAGCTGTGGCTGAGAGCACGGTCGACGTATGCGTTAACAACACTCCTCTTGTACCTGTCAGTTGTACCATCGCCAGAGAAATCCTAGTAAACAACACAGAAATCATCGATAGATACAGCGATAGCAGGCGGCTTGACGTTTGCGAGGCACTACACATCAAGAAGTCAACACCAGCAATCAACAGCCAATTATTGCACAACTATATTCTACCCACCTCAAGACTCCGCTCCAATATAGAAGCATCAAGAAATATGGACCAATAGGCTTTCTACAAACACTTCTATTCAATACCCATTGTTTCTGTTCTGTCTTGTGTTGATACTTTTAATACCCTATTAATATCCCCTCCTGTTCTGTCTTGTGTTAATGCCACATCACCCCTACCACCTCACTCAAATGTAGATATAAAATCAGAGATACGTTCTAATCAGTTGTGTATTTGTGAAGTCTTTGAAAATGTAATAAGTTTTACGAAACGCGCCCGTGTCGCGTCAGACTAGAAATAAAAATGAATTTTGGAGAAGTGATTTTTGATTTACCTCCAACAGTGAAGCGTAATGTACGAAAGATTGAGAAAATTCGTGTTAGAATTATTAATCTTACTTTTTCGGTCATATTTAATAATATATGTCTACAGGAAAGACTGCTACCAAAATATACTAATATATATATATATATATATATATATATATATATATATATATATATATATATATATATATATATATATATATATATATATATATATATATAATATATATATATATATATGTCGTACCTAGTAGCCAGAACTCACTTTTTGGCCTACTATTCAAGGCCCGATTTGCCTAATAAGCCAAGTTTTCATGAATTAATTGTTTTTTCGACTACCTAACCTACCTAACCTAACCTAACCTAACTTTTTTTTCGGCTACCTAACCAAACCTAACCTATAAAGATAGGTTAGGTTAGGTTAGGTAGGGTTGGTTAGGTTCGGTCATATATCTACGTTAACTTTAACTCCAATAAAAAAAAATTGACCTCATACATAATGAAATGGGTAGCTTTATCATTTCATAAGAAAAAAATTAGAAAAAATATATTAATTCAGGAAAACTTGGCTTATTAGGCAAATCGGGCCTTACATAGTAGGCTCAGAAGTGAGTTCTGGCTTCTAGGTACGACATATATATATATATATATATATATATATATATATATATATATATATATATATATATATATATATATATATATATATATATATATATACACACACACACATATACACAGGTCTTAATTTTTTCATTGGCCCTTAGTTACTGAAACTTACTTGAAAGATTGTCCATTTGGTTGTATTTAATACTTGTACTTTTTCTTTTTTTTTTCTGAATCTCTCGTATATATGGTCTAGTAACTGTGTATGCGTTCATTGGGAGGTTTATGTAGGGTACGAAAATATTTCTGGCAGCTGTTAAATTTACAATTATTGATAGAACCACTGGGAAAAATTTGTTAGAGTAATATTAAATTACCCCGCATCCCCACTGGATGGGGAATCAACATGGAGGGGGCACTGATTCGACGCAGAATCAGTCATCAACGCCAATTCAATGTTGAATCAGTCTCTTTTGGCCACCATATGCACACTGGGCACAGCAGCTTCACTGCCAGGATTTACCCGGGGGAAGATTAAAGTATGAATAACTAGAAGTTAATGTTTATTTTGATTATAATGTGCATGTTCAGGGGACAGTTTGACACCGTACATTTCGGTCCGAAAGGAGGTATTGCTAGTTAATCTTGGTCTTGGTTCCTCCAGGGTCTTTGGTCTAGAGGACCAAGTGATAGTGTGTGTTGCTGCATGGGCCCCTGACAGCTGACTGAACAGCTCTTCGGCTTCGTAGTCCTGAGGTTCCGGGTTCGATCCCCAGTGGAGGCGGAAACAAATGGGCAGAGTTTCTTTCACCCTGATGCTCCTGTTCACCTAGCAGTATATACGGACCTGAGAGTTAGATAGCTGCTACGGGCTGCTTCCTGGGGGGGGGCGTGTTAACAAAAAAAGGCCTGGTCGAAGACAGGGCCGCAGGGACGCTAAGCCCCGAAATTACTCAATTTAACCCCAAGAAGATTGGTAAATTGTTGATCTAGAGAGCCTCCACTGGGGTATGCTATAGAGTATTGACACCTGGTTGATGCCTGGTTGATGGGGTTCTGGGAGTTCTTCTACTCCCCAAGCCCGGCCCGAGGCCAGGCTTGACTTGTGAGAGTTTGGTCCACCAGGCTGTTGCTTGGAGTGGCCCGCAGGCCCACATACCCACCACAGCCCGGTTTGGTCCGGCACTTCTTGGAGGAAACAATCTAGTTTCCTCTTGAAGATGTCCACGGTTGTTCCGGCAATATCTCTTACGCTCGCAGGGAGGATGTTGAACAACCGTGGACCTTTGATGTTTATACAGTGTTCTCTTATATTGCGAGGGCGTCTAGTGTAACAAGGTTCGATTTTGAGGAGTTTTAATATACATTTGACATTCGGTGGGTCTAAAAGTTGAGGTTTAGCTGTAAGTAAAGGACTGGAAGCCGTAGCATCATAAAGGATTGCTGTCAGCGTCCCCCCCCTCACAACTCCTGGTCCTCTCGACTAATACATCGTATTTGTAACGTTGGTTGGTTGGTAACGGCTCATAGATATCTCGAGTGTTCTGTGCCTCGTGCTGGATGGGTTGCTAGTGTGTGTACACGTTCTTGGTTAGGCTAAAAGGTTGGATTCTTTACGTAGTGACAAATAGAACACACTGCTCTCACAACTGTAGCAAAGGTAATCGTTTAGCAACAAGAAATATACCTCACTTAGACAAATTATTAAAAAAAATTTTTTATTAAAATTATAATAATTTTTAAAATTTTACTTTTTCTTGCCCTCCAGGACGAAGGAGGCTCAGGAGGTCTACGAGCGAGCACTCTTCTACGACAGTACCAACCCAGACATCTACTACAACGTAAGTCTCTACGATAACCAATAACAACTACTTGAGAGAGAGGCTTAATTGCAGCATGTGAGGTCTTACCATTTATAATCTACATCTATTGAAACCTTCAAAACGTGATAAAGTTTTTAAAATATCAATTAAGATTAAATGATATCCCAGCAAAAAGATTATTTTGCTTTCGGTCCAACAGTGCACGAAAGCAAAAGGTTGCTTTCATGCAACATTGTATTAACATAACCACTACGCTTGTTAACGTTGAAGGCAGTGTATGAGCTCTCGCCAGGTGTGCCAGAGAGGCAAGGTACAGGTGTAAGAGGTTCACGTGTTGTGTTGCAGCTCGGGGTGGTGCTACTGGAGCAGGGGCGGGCACAGCAGGCTCTGGCTTACCTGGACAAGGCCTTGGAGATGGACCCGGACCACCAGCAGGCGCTCCTCAACTCTGCCGTACTCATTCAGGTCAGTCTCCATCCCTCTGTTTGGGTGGGGGGGGGGATGTAGGGGGGTTGGGAGGAGACTGATTGACTGCCTGGCTGCCTGCCTGCCTGGCTGCCTGCCTGGCTGCCTGGCTGCCTGCCTGCCTGGCTGCCTGCCTGGCTGCCTGCCTGGCTGACTGCCTGGCTGCCTGGCTGCCTGCCTGGCTGCCTGCCTGGCTGCCTGCCTGGCTGACTGCCTGGCTGCCTGCCTGGCTGCCTGGCTGCCTGCCTGGCTGCCTGCCTGGCTGCCTGCCTGGCTGACTGCCTGGCTGCCTGCCTCTCTCACTCCCTCCCCCTCTCCCCCTCTCTCCCCCTCTCCCCCTCTCTCCCCCTCTCCCCCTCTCTCTCCCCTCTCTCCCCCTCTCTCTCCCCTCTCTCCCCCTCTCTCTCCCCCTCTCTCCCCCTCTCTCCCCCTCCTCTCTCCCCCTCTCTCCCCCTCTCATACCCCCTCCCCTCTCACCCCCTCCCCTCTCACCCCCTCTCTCCCCCTCCCTCCCTCTCCCTCCCTCCCTCCCTCCCTTTCTCTCACTCCCTCCCTCCCTCTCTTCCCCCTCTCTCACTCCCTCCCTCCCTCCTTCCCTCCCTCCCTCCCTCTCTCTCTCACTCCCTCCCTCCCTCTCTCTCACTCCCTCCCTCCCTCCCTCCCCCTCTCTCACTCCCTCCCTCTCTCTCACTCCCCTCTCTGCCTTTTCCAAGTATTACTATTATGATATGGCCTTGAAAGTTATACAGTGTAACATAAGAACCATTTCTTAAGGTTCTGTTTTTCTACATTTCTGAAGGTCTATTGGCCCATACAAGATGGCTCCTATTTATATCCACCAAAACTATATATTATATATATGTAATATATATATAATATAGAAATATCTTACCTTTGAAGCAATATAGTGATCCCACATCCATTATGTAATTAGATCTATAAATTAACAACCCTGTTTCTAAACTCAGATGTTTCTTAAATCTAATTTCTATCCCGCTTAGAGTTGCAGATACATTTCAAAATATCCATTTTTTATAAATGGATAAAAGATACAGTATACTTCAAATATGTCATCCCATATTTTATATTCTATAGAAAATTACCTTTTTGATCCTTTTTTGAATACCGGGGGGGGGGGGGGGCTCCAATTCCAGGGATTAACTTTGTCATCCTTCTCTCAATGCGTTAAAGTGAATTTATATCCCCTTCTGTATTAGAGACCAAACCTTAACTGCATAAAGAAAATGAGGCCTAAACGCTGTCCAAAATGCTGTGCGTATTAGTGATTTTAGGCATTGTATGTACTAGCTCTTATCTATAAATCTAACATTAGGTCTGTAACTCATCTTTTATGTATGTACTTTTACCTGAATAAACAGTTTTATTGCTTTCTCTCCTAGAAATAAACCTCTAGAGTCTATGTGTTATATTTCATACAATTATGCGTTGATTTCAGCTTCAGACACCGAATTCTAGAATGGACATAGAGCAGGATTTCAAAATTAATCCAATTTGAGACCTCATTTATGAAGAGGTTAACAAAGCTAAATTACATTCCCTAGAAAACCAGACTTATGGTTGACAGAACTGAAGTGGATGAATGGGCATAACAAAGGGAATATTAACAAGGAATTAACTATATAAATACAAAATAGAGCATGAAACAATTTATATAAATTTAATAAAATTTTGTAAATTTACGAAAGACCTGGGTAAATACTAGTATGGAAACCGGATTGATGATTTTGTGGAACAAATTATCAGGCAACATAAAATATGTGGGATCACCTAATTGTTTCAAGTGTAGGCTAGACATGTATATGAATGAGTTTTGGGTGGTTGTAAATAAGAGCGGCCACGTATGGACCAATAGGTCTTCTGCAGTTTCCTTGATTCTTATGTACCTGTATAATCACAGTCCTCTAACTTCCCCCCCTTCTCCATTACCACTTCTTCTTTACCACCACATCCTCCATCATGCCTGTCACTCCGTCCTACATCATGCCTGTCCCTCCCTTCTACATCATTCCCTATTTCACTCTTACCTTCGCATAAACACCACCACCTTCATCTTCTCACCATCGTAGTATCTCTCAAATACGATCCCTCATCACAGTATTTCTAATTCAAAAAATGGTCTTCCCCATCACAGGAGTCTGGTAACGCTGAACTGCGGCCTCTGGCGTACCAGCGGCTACTGAGGCTGGTTCAGCGAGACCCCCTCAATGAACGCATCTACTTCAACCTCGGCATGATTGCCATGGATGATCGAGACTATCGGAATGCAGAAAAGTGGTTCAGAAAGGTAGATTCGTCATCTATTTCCCTAACGTCATTCCCCTAACGTTATCTTGCATTCTCCCACAATCTGGCATCTCCCGGTGTAATCTTGGAGATCCTTGATGTTGTTTGGCATAACTTAGCATCCTTTTGGTATCTTATGGCATTCCTTCGGGGCAATCTGTAGTTCCTTGCCATCTATTCTGGATGCCTTTCATAATGTTTGTTGATCCTTACTTTTAATTTTCTACTCAATAAAACATTAATAAAATGATGTGCAACATAATTTTCACAAGTTCAGCTGACGTTGATTAAATGCAGTATTGTGCTCAGGCTGAAACAGTCCTGGAAGTAAAACTTGTAGGCCATGCATGATTGCCACTTGCACAGTTACTCATCATAAATATTGACCAGACTACACACTAGAAAGTGAAGGGACGACGACGTTTCGGTCCGTACTAGACCATTCTCGAGTCGATTTCCACAATCGACTTGAGAATGGTCCAGGACGAACCGAAACGTTGTCGTCCCTTCACCTTCTAGTGTGTGGTCTGGTCAACATTCTTCAGCCACGTTATTGTGACTCATCGCCTCATCTTAAATAATTCCACGTTGCCCACTATTGGCAGGCATGTAAAAGCAACATGAACCTCACCCTGTGCCACTTTCTATAGGCCATAGAGTTAAAGGAAGACTTCCGGTCGGCGCTATTCAACTTAGCCTTGCTGCTAACGGACGACCAGCGGCCTCTGGAAGCGGCACCCTTCCTCAACCAGCTAGTGAAGCACCACCCGGACCACGTCAAGGGGCTCATTCTCCTGGGAGACATATACATCAACAACATAAAAGATCTCGATGCGGCTGAGAAGGTTTGTTTTCCAGAAACTCTGACGTGGATACTTTGTAAACAAAATTGTAAGAAATTTAATGTGTATGGTGATTAGAAGTTACTGTAAGCTAGACACTGCAATGTATATTTATTGGGATTCAACCAATATGTATCTAATGCGATCTTCATATTTCTGTTTCAGTGCTATGAGCGAATCCTTGCAGTGGATCCAGGTAATGTCCAGGGACTCCACAACTTGTGTGTGGTGTATGTGGAGCGAGGAGAGCTGCTGGCCGCCGAGTCCTGCCTCAACAGGGCTCATCTTATGGCTCCTCACGAAGACTATATTCTCAGACATCTGAAGATCGTCAGGACGCGCCTCGCCAAATTTTCTCAGATGCAACAGCAACAGGCAGTTAGTGGGGGAAGTGAACGGACAGCACCCACCACTTTGCCTGATGGCAGTGATGTCACGGAGAGTGGCAGTGAGGCCAGTGCCAACAGGCCTAAAAAAACCGTTTTTATAACAAAAACTAGTGATAGCAATAGCAAAAATATGGAGAAACAACCTGGTCGCATGATGGAGGCGACGCTAAAGAATGATGCGAGTGATTCAATATCATAAGACTCGGCCAGTGTTGCAAGTATGCCAAAGGTACTACAGTCATTAGAAGGTGCGTAGCTTCACACGAATCGTCATGAGGACTTCTCTAGTGTTGATGTACCATCCCTTAAGTTATAGCATGTTGATTATCAATGTGATGATGTGTCTCTCCGAGGTTACTTTTACTTACTTTCCCTATTTTTGTTCCCCAACCTCCTTCCCGAGGGTACATCTCATTACCTCTCCTTCTGGTATAATTCACCCCCCCCCCCACTGCCTTCCCAGTGTTACGGGCTCACCATAGCCCGTGCTACTTGGACATTTCGTTTTGAGTACCTAAATCTAAAACAAAGCCTTCCCAGTGGGCTAACATATTCTGCTGCCCTATCACAGCAGAATAAGTTTACCGTATTCTTGAGAAGGAGAGTTGAATAAGATGGCCTCATTTCTTCAATGGGTGCAGATTAACATCCCCACCTTCCTTTACTCGTGAGATTATCTTATGCCACCTTTTCCTTGAGACAACCTCACCCGACCACCTACCCAAGGGGGTAATCTCGCCCTCCCACCTGCTTAAGTAAACAGATTTTATAAACCATCGTTTGAATTTTGTACTGCATTTAGTTCATTTGTTCATTTCTGTTAGGTGTACATGATTCAATTATTGAATACAGTTTTTGTGAATAATATAAACTATTATTTGAATCTATAATATATGAATTAAGACGACTAACCCACACACCTGAAAGAGGAGACGACGGCATTTTCAGGTATGGTTTAGTCTTCAAATTATAAGCCACGTTATTGTGACTCATCATCTGCATTTGAATTAGGTGTTTATTTACGGCGAAAATAGTTATTGCAAATCCACTTCTCTCCTGTGGTTACAGATCTCGGTTTGACACAACAGAAAGGAGGGGGAGGGGTTGTGGGGTGTCAAGATGAGTCTCTGGTGCAACTTCACCTTCAGGGCTTCCAGCCTAAAGTGCTCTGTGGGGTGTATTTACCAACCTGAAACTCTTCCCAATCAAACGCTAAAAAAAAGATATCCTCGCCAAAAACACCTAAGACAAGCTAGACAACTTTAACACCAGATAGAAAAACCCGTGCCATCTAAGTACTTCTTATATTAGTGTCTAAACTAAAGCTTCCCATCAAGGAGTGGCAATAACCAGCCAACCTGACCTGTTGTTATAAGTAACATGCTCATGTTGGCAAATGTTAGGATGGATTATGAGAATCTCCAAATCCAGGGATCCCATCGAAATGCTCAAACTATTCAGATCACTTACTTGTCCTGCCTTGAGTACTGCTCGATAGTCACCCAGAACCAAGAGAGATTTCTGAAATAGTGGGAATTCAGAAAACACAATGGTGCACATGGAGGATAAATCTCTTAAAATATTTGGGCCATCTCAAAGCTCTCAAAATGTACTCTCTAGAAAGAATTCGAGAGAGGTATCACATAATATATACATGGAAAAAGCAGAAGGGCAGGTCTCAAATTTGCACACTGAAATTCCAACATGGAGAACAAGGTAAGAATTGCAGACTAGAGCCAGTGAAGAGTAAAGTGGGGGAAAGGAAGGGGGGGGGGGACTTGGGGATGGAAGAAGGGGAATCGTTGGTGGGGAGTGGGGATGGAAGAAAGGGATTGGTGGGGGAGGAAAGAGAGAAGAATGGAGGGTGCAGGGAGGTAGGGAGGGCAGTTTAACCCAGGCACTGACAAGCGTACGTTCCTAGTGTACTATAAGAATATACGTCTGTCTGTTCAAAGTTGGAGGCTAGATGCTTCGGGCTAGTCCATCTCAACTTTGCAGGGGGAATGATCTGGGGTATGGAATGAACATAGACTGGTCGGAGTCGACCTAGATTGATTGCTTTAAATATAAGCAATTATAGAGATCTCCAGGCGATTTTCAGGAGTCAAGTGCGATATGTTTGGTGTAATTTCCCTAGAGTTTTAGATTGTAATATATTATTCGAGACTCTTACAGTTGTTTCAGTGCTTCTTAATCAATTTCCAGAGACAAGGTGAGAATGAAGGGGAAGGTTCAGGGGGATGAGGGGAGTTGAGGGGAAGATAGTGAAGTGTAGGAAAAGGTGGGGGGGGGGGGGACGATCCAAGTGCAGCCTGGTACTATATTTATAAAATGGAAATTTGTCTGTTCGAGGCTAGAGGGGAGAGGGTTGGGGATTGGGTAGGGAGATTGGGGAGAGGGGGAGATGAGGGAAAAGGGGGATGGGGGTGAGAGGGGAGGGGCGGGAAAGGGTGGGAAAAGAGGGGGAGTGGATGTGGGGAGAGGCGCGGAAGGGGGGATCGGGAGAGAGAGGAAACATCCCAGGTACCGCCAGGTACCTCTTCCAGCATATTATATAAAAAAAATTGATTCAGGGGAATAATCGCATTTGTCTTTGTACTGTAGAATGCTTTGACATTAAATCCATTTTTTTAATAAATTGCTTAAATGTTTTGTGATAGTCAAATGAGAGAAGCATATTATTTTCCCGGTGGAGGCAGAAACAAATGGGCAGAGTTTCTTTCACCCTGAGGCCTCTTTCACCTAGCAGTAAATAGGTAGCTGGGAGTTAGACAGCTGTTATGGGCTGCTTCCTGGGGAGGGAGGAGGGTGACAAAAAGGAGGCCTGGTCGAGGACCGGACCGTGGGGACGCTAAGCCCCGAAATCATCTCAAGATAACCTCAAGATAATGCGAGGTAGGCAAACCCCCACCATCCTCCCCAGGGGTTGGCTAAAACCTCCAGCCCTTCTCTACATGTTTCTACCCCCTTTCACCCCCTTCTTCATATATTGCCTTACTCTGCCACCCTTCCTTTCCCCATCTCGCCATCTCCAAAAGTTACCTCAACCTCCCTTGTGTAGCTTCTGGGAATAAATGGCCTCGTGGCCCTGTCTTTGACCAGGCCCTCTCTGTCTACTGTAAAATATACCCCCACCCTGTCCATTCCTTCAGAAGGTACCTTACCCTTCCTTCTATATAATGTAAATTTCCCATCAACATTTACCCTAAGGGGTTATCTCAATACATCTCCTACCTCGTTTATTTTCTCTCACCTGTAGGCGAAATTTCTCATCCCTAACTCAATGGTTACTTTTCAATGATGCTCTCTAACCTTCTGCAAGGTAAAGGTGTTTTTAAGTCTTTACAAAGGAAATGTAAAGTAATGGTGCTATTAACACAGTTTTTTAACCTTTAAGATCCCAAGACTCTTCAATACCTTTTCTCAACATAAGGGTCAGAACTAGCCAACCTCTTTAGTGTTAAAAGAGGAACTTTTTAAATTTTCTGAAGGGTGCCTGAGCAACCAAGCTGTGACTCGCACGTCAGCAGTGTCCTAATAGTCAGGTTGGCCAATCTCCCAACCAGGAGGCCTAGGGCCAGATTCACGAAAGCACTTACGCCAGCACTTACGAACGTGTACATCTTTCCTTAATCTTTGACGGCTTTGGTTACATTTATTAAACAACTTACAAGCATGAAAACTTTCCATTCAACTGTTGTTATTGCTATAAACAGCCTCCTGGTGCTTCGGAGCTCATTAACTGTTTAATAATTGGAAACAAAGCCGCCAAAGATTGAGAAAAGATGTACAGGTTCGTAAGTGTTTGCATAAGTGCTTTCGTGAATCTGGCCCCTGATCAAAGAAGGGTTGTTGGGATATTAATCCATGTAACCACATGAAGGTAATCCTTACTAATGCCACTTGTGTGGTTATTGTCCAACATCACCACCTTACTAGATCTTGCAGTGCTCATTCCCATTTCACTGAGATTGTTACTCTTGTTCCCTCTTTTTTTTCAGGAGCTTCTACCTCATACCCACCAAGACTTGACTCTCTCATTTGCAGGTGTAAGTGGTGTGTGGTCGTCTGTACTGATGTGGTTGGTTGTACTGGCGTGGTCAACGAGCATTCAGTACTGTCCCCCAGTCTAGGACTTTGATGTTGAGCTCTACAGGATGTCGAGGAGCGTTGCAAAACAAGCGGCAGACATGAATTACCAGAAGTCACAATCCTATACAAGAATCCGGATCATCCTCAGGAATCCAACCTCTCGAGAACGTACTTGAAGTGAAATTATGAATTTGTTTTTGACAAAACCAATCGTCCATTACGAAAACCTGCTTTACTTTATATTTGAATACCTTGGTTTGAAATGGTCTTTGTTCATGACACTATACATATAGAAGTATGTGGGTGGGAACTTGGAAAACAAGAGCAGATTGTGGAACTTGGCATATTGTCCCTCCAGCGTGTCTGAAATTACTATCGGGGGAAAGTGCTTTCATGCTCCAAACACTTAATTTGAGTGGTGAGCAACCAAGTTGCATGTGTCCTGCGAGCACCAGTATGATTTAAGAGCATGAACCGAACCACAGTGTAAAAAAAAAATATATAAAAAAATACAAAAATTGTTTCTGGCCGGAGCAATTCATGTTTTGGAAAGGCCGAGCATAACTCCCTGCCGTCCTAGGAAACGAGAAACTGGACCTTGTTGGGCTAGGAGATATGGCTTGAAATGTGTTGCCGAAATCTTCACCTCGATGAGGTGGTGTTCCGCTGCCAAGTCATCCCTGTAACCTTTATAACCAATGTCCAGTACGTCAGATCCTAGGGGTTGTCCAGCACCCAGTAAGCCAGATCAGTGTTGGTCATCTGGTGCCGCAATTGATGTTGACAGACGTATGAGGTTCTGGCTTACTGGGTACTGCACTATAAAGGGTCTGGTGTGTGAAAAATGCATTTGTCAACACACAAATTTTACCTAATATTTCAATTATAAAAAGCATTAAGAGTTGCCGAAGGGTAGCAAGGGGCATATTAATAAAAAAAAATAAAAAGAAACACAGTGATAAGTAGAGGCAATTTCAGCTTCATAAATATTATAATACTGTACTTCCTTCTGTTAACTATGAATGTGATAAATAATCAACAACTGCTAAATATATGTTGGTATGGTTAAGGTAATTATCACGGCTGTTGCTTTTAGTATCATTTGGGTTCTCTCTCTCTCTCTCGGAGTCGTTGGCGAGACTGATTCATTGACGAGGTTTGGCTTAGCCTCAGTGGCCCAGGCAGAGGACACTAAATTCTCCCTTTTTTACAGTGGATTCATTTCTTCTTCCATCTTCCAAATAAACATTCAAAAAGTGCATACTTTTTTTTTTTTTTTTTTTTTTTTTTTTTTTTTTTTTTTTTTTTTTTTACACCAATTTTGTACCAAATCTCAAAGAAAACATATTTGGTGAATTGGTTTATTAACCATTTGTTTTTATTTAATTATAAAACAGACTTGAGGGTTTTCTAAACACATCTCTCTGAATCATAAGACTTTCTGCCCTCGCTGTGGATCATCAGATCCCCATTTGTAAGAATAGCCAGAAACTCCCCCTCCTCTAACCTCTGAGAATCATATCTCACACTCGCCGTATTTCTTAAGAATCATCTCTGACCTATCACAAATAGGTATACGCCTCGACGGATGGCTCATTTCTTGAGGTATTCCTTCAATTGCCTAAATAAGTTTTAATTACTACAAATATGAATTAGTTATAAAAATTTTCATAGAGATCACTCATCTTGCTGCTGTGCTCTAGTCCACTCGTAATCAGTAGTATTGACGAGTTTAAAACCTACACACCTCTCTCACCCTCTTTTTTTTCTCTCTCTGTCTCTCTCTCTGTCTCTCTCTCTCTGTCTCTCTCTCTGTCTCTCTCTCTCTGTCTCTCTCTCTGTCTCTCTCTCTCTGTCTCTCTCTCTCTCTCTCTCTCTGTCTCTCTCTGTCTCTCTCTCTCTCTCTCTCTCTCTGTCTCTCTCTCTCTCTCTCTCTGTCTCTCTCTCTCTCTCTCTCTCTCTCTCTCTCTCTCTCTCTCTCTCTCTCTCTGTCTCTCTCTCTCTCTCTCTCTCTCTCTCTCTCTCTCTCTCTCTCTCTCTCTCTCTCTCTCTCTCTCTCTCTCTCTCTCTCTCTCTCTCTCTCTCTCTCTCTCTCTCTCTCTCTCTGTCTCTGTCTCTGTCTCTCTCTCTCTGTCTCTCTCTATCTCTGTCTCTCTCTGTCTCTGTCTCTGTCTCTGTCTCTCTGTCTCTCTGTCTGTCTCTCTGTCTCTCTGTCTCTCTCTCTCTCTCTCTCTCTGTCTCTCTGTCTCTCTGTCTCTCTGTCTCTCTGTCTCTCTGTCTCTCTCTCTCTCTCTCTCTCTCTCTCTCTCTCTCTCTCTCTCTCTCTCTCTCTCTCTCTCTCTCTCTGTCTCTCTCTCTCTCTGTCTCTCTCTCTCTCTGTCTCTCTGTCTCTCTGTCTCTCTCTCTCTCTCTCTCTCTCTCTGTCTCTCTCTCTCTCTCTCTCTCTCTCTCTCTCTCTCTCTCTCTCTCTCTCTCTCTCTCTCTCTCTCTGTCTCTCTCTCTCTCTCTCTCTCTCTCTCTCCATCTATCTGATGCTCGCTCACTCGCTCTTAATTATTTCTGGATTAATTTTTGTGATTACGTTTTTTGTGATTAAGTTTGGCTACGTAATTGGGGAGAAGACGAGGTATGGTGGTTGGTGTGGCCATTAAGTCATGCACTCCACTGGTTGACAACCTGCAGGTGTAAATAACTACGCTGCAATTCAAAGCTTGAGCTGGAATGGACAGTATAAGAAAACTTTTATAAAAACTTGTATTCTTCACTTTATTAACTCTACTATTGATGTTTCCTTCTACTCTGGATGTATGTGATTGTAAGGAATGGTACTTTTGTTGTATACCTTCAACTATGTATTTGTTGGTATAGGGAAGAAGTGATGCCTCTGAGTGATTTATTCTTGCACTGATCTTGCACCAACTCGCAAGATGCTGTAATGCATTACAAAAAATTAATATGGAAGCTAATACTAATTTTAACATTTGACGTCAGAAATGTCCAGGGCTGTTGCAAGTAGTGCAGAGTTGGTCAAGGTGCAAATCACAGGTGATAACATGTTGTGCATCACACTCGCAGAGAACTTTTTCATATAGTATTGATCTTAGAAAACATCTCGTATCGAAAGGTGCTTGATGTCGGATCCATTAGTTGACAAAACAGTGAAAATCAGTTTTAGCTGGAGACTGTATATTATAGTGTCTAGCTAGATATACTTCATTACTGTGACAAAAAATTTTTCACTGTATAATATATATGATGTACATTTCCCACACTCTCTTGCAATAATCTTGGAAGAGTAGCCATTTTAACATTTCTGCTTCATTGCATGGCTAGGGAAGGTAGTTCTAAATTTGTGTGAGAGGATGTGGGAACCGCTGCAACTTTAGTCACTAAATAAAACTATTCCTCGGTGAGAGACAGTGATGGAGGTAAACACCCCGGATCTGTACAAAGTTAAAAAAATAAAAACAAAACAAAAAAAAAGTCATAATGAAATACGATGATGTTTTAAACCTTCAGCGGTGCCTTTTGGGATAATGTCTGAAATGGTATTGTAAAAAAAAATGTTTGTATATCAAGTTTTCATAAATTCCATGATATTTTTCTATGTACCATACACTCCACGTTCCCAGTTCTCCTCTTGGTGGTTCACGTAATCGTAGACAATGTGTCCTAGATGCCATGTGTGTATATCCCTTCCTCTCACCCCCCTTCAAGTTTCTTCTTGACTACCTCTCCAGCGTTTCCTGTTAACCTTTGAAATCTTTCACAAGTAGTTCTTATCGTTCCTGAGTCTGACTTTCGAGATGCTATCCACTTTTGTAGTTTTCTTTAAGATTTTTTTTTGTGGAATCCATAGTACATGAAACCCATGCCGAGTTATAACCTTTCCTAAATTGTAAAAAAAAAAAAAAAAAAAAATTACATTACTCATTTATCTATGTTTTATATGAACAAATCCACAGGGGCCGTGATGAGGATTCGAATCTATGTGCAGGGTATAGCTCTAATCTAATCGCTCTAATCGACTGCACCATGACACTGTAAAAGAATAGCAACCTGGGGTAATACATTCCCTGTATATTTTGCACCCTGCAAAATAGGGTATACACAGGTATACACCCTGCAGGTGTATACTTGCACCCACTAGGATTCCCGAGGCTTCCACTGAACCCAAAACCCAGGGTTTCACACATTTCCCCCTCCCCCATGCACTCTGGTTCTGTCGTCCAGTAAGTCTGCCTCTGACGCCCCTATTTCAATACACAGAGAAATCACATTGGGATTTCCTGGTACGGAGAATTGTGTGAAACCTTGGTTTGGCTTTAGTGGAAGCCTCGGGAATCCTAGTAGGTGCAAGTGTACCACAGGTTGCTATTATTTTACCATGTTGTGGTGCAGTCGACTAGTGTGTGCCTGGGAACACACAGTGCATAGGCTCGAACCCCCTCATCAAGGCTTCTGTTGATTTGTGCATTGATATATCACAATAACGCGATTTCTGTGTATCCACTTTGCTATATTTCTATATTTTTTTGTTTATATTTTTATATTTTTTTTTACTGCTTACCCTTTTCTGTTTATTCAGACCATCGTCCTGTTTAGATAGTACTTATAGTAACTATGTGGACCATCGTACATAGGTTTTGTTGCAAACACAACCCTACCCTAACCATCCAAGACGTCCTATGTGCTATGCCAGGATATTTGTTTGGTTATAAGCTTGATATTTTCCTGATTATAAACAGAATAGTACCAAATTCTACTAATTGTCGATTACGTCAATATATGTACAATGGCCCCACATGGTTAACTAAAGTACTATTTACACAGGAGGATGTTGTTCCTTACTATGAACACACTTTTACTTACGCAGGTGTCAGCCATGGGTGGTGTGTGTAGGGAGACCTGGAATAATTTGAGTGCAGCCCTCTGGTCTGCCCTGATTTAAGTTGCTATACATGGCATCACCTCAACGGGATACTTACAGGATTATATATGTCATTAGGCTGTTGTCACGGGGAGCTTGGACGTCAGAGGTTCTGGGTTACTTTAGAAAGTAGTATTTTTTTTTTCTCCGTTACTTAGCCTTCATAGGGACTTGGAATTGAAGGTAGAGGTCTGCATGCGTCTCTTGTTCCATTGTACTACCGTTATGGTGTGTGGCTTCCACATACAGTACTCGAGCCCTCCCTGCCTCGGTTAAGATGCAAACCTCTAATATTTCCATCATCCATGGTCTATATAACATTGGTGGGCACCATGGTTATTAACATTAAGTACTACAGTCATTTTGACTTACCATGTTGAGCTCTATTATCATGGTCTATTCTCCTCCTGTGTCTGCCTTATTTGTCCTGTAACCATATCATGATGGTAAAGACCGGAAAGAGAATAATGAAATTTTTAAGTTATTGTAAGTTTTATTGTGATCCCTGTTTAAAACAGGTTGTGATTTTTTGTAAAATATTTTCATTTATATAAATAAATATATAAGATTATGTTGTATATAAAATCTGAGTAAAGTCGTAGCCATTGCTGTGCATGAACTTTGTAGATGGCAGTTTTTCATTGTTGTTTAATTTTGCATTTATTGGAACGATAATGAAAGATTTGTAATACCTTCAGTGATCTCTGAATTTTTATACTGTAATGGCAAGCCAGTGATCAACCAGTCTGTGAGCCAAGTCATGTTGAAGAGAGGAAACTTGGTGACCATCCTTCCTCTCAGCCTCCTAGCCCCCTCCTCTGTAACTGGCTGCAGTCACAAAGGAGGGGTAGGACGGGGAATGGGCATCATGCTTGTGCTAGAGGTGATAACCCTTGGCCTCGCGCATGATTCCGTTGGCCATAAGCACACCTTTGGCCGCATTTGTGACGAGTCACAAATGCAACACCCTTGGCTACGAGTGTGACGTGTGATGTCCTCGGTGAGATCAACATCCTAGACCGTGAGTGTGACGGCCAGCGAGCTCAGGGTAAGGCCATTGTGCCTGCTGCTCCACCCTTCCACCAGACACATCTGCACCACGCGACAACGCTGTCGGTGTCCCCTAGCCAGTAGCATGGGGTCGAGTAACACCAGGGAATAAGTTAACGGTGTTAAAACTGTGGGATCCCAGCATGTGATATAGACTGGGGTGCAGGGGTGAGTGGTGTGTGTGTAGGGATGGGTCGTGTGCTTAAAGCAGCAGACAGCGGCATGTCCCTCAGGACGCGAGTGCTGACGCTGGTGTCCCCAGGTGTTATGAGGTAATGGCACCGGAGTCCTCATTGTCCTCACGACTCTCCCGTCTGTC